AAAAGCGGTGTGGGTGTGTGTTAAGGTGCGTATGTGTGAGGGGCGCATGCGCACTTCCTGATTTAAGGGAAGGGGAGGGAGAAGAGAGTCGATGTTGCATTGTTACAATGAGTGTGAAAGGTTGGGGGCTTATTTATATATTTCCTGATAGGTTTCGTTCTGTATCTTTTTTCGACTCTCAGCTAATGCATTGAAATATGTCTATTTTTATTATCATTTTTTAACGTGGTCTAATTATTTGATTTTATTATGTTATAATGTATTAATCAACCAAAGCATCAGCGCTCAGAATTCATCTACCTTTCTCTGTATAATCATGTTGTATCAATCACATTTTCAAATGGAATGCAATTGAAGTTGAATTGAATCGAATACAAATTATGGGGGAAAAGGTATGTGCGTATGATTTCATGAATTGAGTACGCCTTATTTATTTTATACAGGAACGGATCCAGACGGCACAACCAGCTTTTGCCCCCCCCCTTAATTATTATTTACGTTTTTTAGTCTTCTTTATAAAGAGTGGCCATTTCATGTTCGAAATGAGAGATACTTGGAAGTGAAGGCATCTTGTGAATCAATCCGTTCTAGGTTTTTTTTAGTTCAAATAGTAGGGTATTTGTCGCATGTCTTGTCTATATATAGAAATCTTTCTCGGAATAATAAACCCAGCTGATATACTTTAAGCACACAAAATATTGTTTACACATCGTTACTAAACAATCCCCCTTCCAATCGTTTCAAATAAATTACTTTTGTGGAAGGAACATTTCGGTAAGTTTGTCGGATAAAATTGAATACAAACATAATTTAGTGCATACACGTGGGAGTGACCTTTAGACTGGGGATGCTGATTGATGCGCGGTGTCTCTCTAAAATGATATAACAAGTAAGCAATAGATGATTAAATAGAAAGAAAAATAATAACCTACCCCAGGGCCTCTTGAGCGCATTGTCAAGTATTATTTGTTTACGCCCTAATAAATTAAGAAAAAGAAATATTTCGGAGAGTTTAATATCCATGTAGGAATCGCACATTACGACTATATAAAGAGATATGTATGGTTTGTAATACTATCTCACCATTTTAATGCGTTCGTTTGAATGAAAGCGAGAAAAAAGGACGAACAGAATGGTGAAAGTTGAAAAGAAATCAAACAAAATAAACGAAAGCTATAAATGAGTTAAAAATATAGTCTATTTCAATTTCAGACTGGCCTTTGGTCAGTGGATTGTGACGTATTCACGACAAACTCTCCTAATTTTTGTGTGCTTATATTATTGATTCATGGTTTCCACTAAAGCACCTTATGATCCGAATATAATTTATACAGACTGAAAAAACACGATACAGTTTCAAGATTGTGTGAACAGACCTTCAGTTTAGTACTCAATTATTTGGCAATACTGTTGGGTTTATTCTCCTGTTAAGACACTTTGTCTAGGAGGCTATGATGTATGTTCACCTAACACGCTAAATGCGTGGGATGTACATATTTATGTGGGCAGCATAAATAAACACAGGTTGCAATATCTGCCTTCTAAGTGCAATTACCGCGGTGCACATGCCTGCACGAAACGCTGTCAGAAAAAAAAAATAGAAACTACTACAGCGGCAATCATTTCCCTTTTACGCACTGAACAATGGATTTGATTTGAGCCTACACTCTTTTTGGCCTTTCAAGCGGTTTAAGGAATAATTTTGCAAAATTTAGTTATCAAGTGTTTTAACGTTGATGATGGTAGCTCTAAGCAGGTCAGTTTAAAAGAAATTCATTGTATATTTCGTCGATAGATGGCTCCGTTGCATTTTTCGGATTTCGTTATATTGACTATCAGGCTCGTGATCTTTAACAGGAGAGGCATAAGAATTCTTGAGAAGTGTTCCAACTTATAATATTCTGCGCTCATGACCAGAAGACAAGGACTTGATAACAAGACAGTGAAAGCGAGGTCAAAGTCTATTTACGGTTGTTGTGAAATTATTTCTATTTCTATATCAACTTTTTAAAAGCTACATGGTAAGTTATTATAAATAATAATAATAATAATAATAATAATAATAATAATAATAATAATAATAATAATAATAATAATAATAATAATAATAATAATAATAATAATAATAATAATAATAATAATAATAATATTGGATATTTATATAGTGCACATATCCACCCAATTTCACTGCCATTCATCACGTTTACGTGTCAGTGTACATAGAAGTTACCAGACTAATATAGTTACTAATAGTCTAATTTCATGTGACAGCATTCCCTCTTTTAATTGAATATCAAAGAAAAGAAAAGTGAAAAATAATGTACATCCCAGGCCCAGGATTTTAATTCCCTCGTGCAGTGGCCAAGTATCAGACAACGACAAACTGTGTATTCAGTGTTTTATGTGAACCACTGTATATAAGGTTGACGAAACATCAGCAAATCTGACACTCTGTGCCTTCTGAAAGAAGTGGAACAAAATTACGACATTTTATTTATTTATTTATTTATTCATACATGTTCACAATTTCACAATTCATTGGAATTAACATCACATGAAACGGAATATAATATGACAAATCATTTTTAATTTTACAATCCATTTTAATTGACTTCACATGAAAAAGAATATAACAATGTTTTTATCTAAGACAAGTTGCAACTATAAAGGTGATGAAACATAAGCAAATAGAGCTTGAATCGTTACAACACCTTTAAAATATATGATATATGACAAATAAAATCCCCAAAGGGTTGTGAACGATTTACACTATTTATAAAGAATAAGAAACAAAAAGAAGAAAACAGAAGTATATTGTTAAGTCAAGTAAAAATTCATGTTCGATATAATGAGAACTGATATATAAATTATTATCTAAGTAATATTTTACATCTGTGAAATGATAATACATTTGAGTGCTCTTTTAAAGGAGTTTGGTGATTTTATATTTCGAATATTATTAGGTAGAGAATTTCATACATCTGGACCCCTATGTCTGACATACTCAACACGTTCCAATACAATTTTAATATTTGCTATTCCAACCAGGTATTATCCTTCATAATTTAGAAATCAATGATTGCCGAGATATATTGAAAAGGCAATACCCCAAAAAGACAATTTATTGCCCATCCAATGAATTTCGACAATTGTATGTTTATAAAAGGTTACTTTATATCGACACTTCTGATTGCTTTTCCACGATGTGTTGGAATACTAATTATGCCCTGTAAATATTTCCCTTATTTAAACCAAAAAAGTGTCAAATTCCATTTCTTACGGACTTATAATTGACCTAACTCAAGGCTTACCTTCTAGTTCTATCAACATATTCATTTTAATTCAAAGTGTTGTAAGACTTATACGAGAGACTAGGGCAAAATTGTTGATATTAAAGGGTTTGATAATATGGATACCCTTGATAGGAGGCAAGCGAACCTCAGCATTCGAAGTTAAGTTTATACGATGTTTATAATAAGTTTCGTGATGATGTGTGCGCTTATTCAGACGATTCTATCATATGATTTGAAAATGTTCGTTTAATAATTTTCCTCTTTTTTTAATTATTTATATAATTATATATATATATATTTTTTTTACCACATCTGCATTTTACTACAATGGAATCCAACTGAAAAGACCTTGTATTAAATTCAGAAAATCTCGTCCGATAGCATGGATCGGGTTCTATTAATGTCATATTTTAACTGCGTTCTTTTCATCTGAATTTCATTTAAATTGTTAAAGGTAGTGTACCCCTTTTGCTGCAAACATCACATTCTGTAGAAGTTTGCAGGAATTTTGAATATGTCTCGTATGTCCTATCCAGGGCTCAAATTATGTTTTTGTCCACGGGGGATCTTCAACAACAAAAAAGAGCCCCCGTGAACCTTCTCACGGGGGCTCTTTTAGTGCTGACGGGGGCTCTTATTTTAATACAAATTTCCATTGAATTGGTACCCATGAAACTCCTAAATTCCTTGGAATTTTATCATTATCATTTATTTAAGTTGGCATTTTCCCTCTTAGAAATTTACTTGTTACATAGCTGTAATGACTTGTCCTTATGACAATCAAAGCTGAACATTAACGAAATTGCTCAAAAGGCAGCAAATTGTGGATCTAATCACATGCAGTTGACAGAGAGGCGACACTAATGGGCGAGTGTATGGATATTGCAATCACTTAACAAAGGCATACTTCGCACGAGGCGATAAATCGATCACAGATTCAATTACGGTATAAAGAGGACTTGAAACAGGTGATTGGGCAGTATATGAACTCTGGCTGATCATCCTAAACGCTGGCTAATAATTCTGGACCTTTTAAATAAAAATCTTCAGGAAGGAAACTGTAATGTTAACCGTTGGAAAGCCTAATGGATATTGCATATTGGTCAGAGCAAAGGCTTATGTGAGTTAAAAGGACGTCTACTTGTGTTGCCTGCAGTATTGCTATTGCATTCTAATTAAGATATTAGAAAAAAAAACGTGTTTTTGTTGCTATTTACCTTCCGGAACGTTCATTTCGAAACTTCGCTTCGCTTGCTAGGACGCTTTGAAAGGTTAGTGTGGTCTTAGTTGTTGACGTTCTCAGTCATTAAGAATCAACCATACTCAACAGCGAAACAGTAGCCTTCCACCTTTTTTATAATGGAAAACGCAACAGACATTTATTTTCTTTATGTATCAATGGTCGTTACACAGGTTGACTCAACAAGTTTGGACATGATCACGATAATTCCAAGTGTGACATCAGAATTGAGTGTCGTTGCTTTCAATCATCGAGCAATTGTTGCAGCCATTTTGCTCGTATTCGCATTGGTTGGTTTATTTGGTAACGCCCTCGTCATCATTTCAGTCATCGTTAGCAGAAAGCTTCGGACGATCACTAATGTCCTGGTGGTCAATCTAGCTTTCGCTGATTTCATGGCATGTACCTTCTTACCGTTCCAAAGCGCTGGTCTCCTAAGTCAAACAGGAAGATACCCTCTGCACGAGATGGTGTGCGCAGCCGTTGCCGCAGTACAATACATCAGCGCATGCTGCAGTGTATACACCCTAGTCGCTATAGCATTTGTCCGTTGGTACGTCATCACCAGATCTATTCGTGGTCACCAAGGTCTTCATACCCCGAAGAAAATCGCCATCATGGTTGTGATCATCTGGATAATCTCAATCTCATTCATGGTCATACCTCCTGTTCTTGGCATTGGAACACTCGGTTATTCCGTATATTACAGCATATGTTCTGTGACAGATACAAACGAACAAGGTGGCTATTTTGTCTTTCTTCTAGGGACACTGATCGCCATTGCCCTTCTTCTCACCCTTTTATTTTACATTCGTATCTTACGCCATGTCTTGAGACATAATAATCAGTTTCGAGACAAGTACGCGGTTGATGAAGATGCCGGTTCAAGCTCAACAGAGGCGCATCAGAACAAGGCTTCTTCGTCCATTTCTGCAGGTTCTTGTCCACCAATGATCAAGGCCATCAACCGGAAAGAGATTGAGATCACTAAGAATCTCTTCATGGTCGTTTGTGTTTTCATGCTCTGTTTCCTAGGCACCATTGTGAATTTCATCATCCCTGGTAGCAGCGTCTTAACTATCTACAGTACCATGATATTGTTAGTGAACAGCATAGTCAATCCGATCATCTATGGGCTCAAGCACCCCAACTTTCAAGAGGTCTTCAACAAAATTCTTTGCTGTCGTCCCGTAGAATAGACATCATGCGAGACCGATCCGAACATTCATGGCAGGCTCTTCGACTGGCGCATTGAGAACTGTTGACTAAAAGAACTATTTAACAAAATAACAACAAAAAACGTCTAAAACGTATTGAACAGCTTCATTCGAAAACCATCGAAATTTAAAGTCTAATGACGGCGGCCAAAGTTGTAAATAGTAGTCAAACAGTTTGTATTGCACAAACAGGGGCTACTTCAGGACATGTTGCATTATCGATACTTTAGGTACACTCTAAAAGAACTATAGTTCTAATATAATCTGTGTGGTAAATACGAAACATGCATGTCCAGATGTTTATAAAGGTTTACACAACATCAAATGAATTATGATAATAAATTGGCCATTTGTAACACACTAAAATTGTCAATTTGACACTCCTGGCGCAGGTTATGAGAAATGAGTTTGATACTACAGTACAGTCTTGGCATTTAACGGATATTGGTTAAAAAATTTACACAACAAAACATGCATCTTTCCATTTCTACCAAACATGGTTACAATTTTACGATTCTCTCTTTGTTTTTAAAGACTCCGATGATATATAGGAGTTTCTTTGTTTGTCCTATGTAATGTAAAACTGTTTCATGAGCAATTTTTAATGGAGCAGGTAGAGCAAAGATTGTTAGTAATAATGTTGGACATTAGAAACTGTGATTGAACAACTTCTCATCGATTAAGCTTGTATCTGGTAGTGGGATTTAAAATTTATTATTTGCTATTTCTTAAAGGTAAAGACCAGTATTGGAAACGCCCCAATTTCAAAAGATGAAAATAAAGCTCTTATTTAATACCAATCATGTGAAAGAATATGTTTTTACTAATACACGACGATAACAATTTTGCCGGGAAACCGCCTACTTATTGATATATTTGGTAAATTAGTTCATCTATTGGTATGTGAGAGATAAACGTACCTGTCGCGCATGTGTGCGTAGTCCCATATACATCTTACTGTGTACAGTGCTTGTAACTGTACCAAGACTGGGCCAAATTTCTTATCATATTGATGATTCCAGAACCTTGCAGTACACACCAATACTTATATGCTAGATGATCAACCTTTTCTGATCGATTCCACAACGTTTCTTTCACAATGCAATCGCATGACCATAACTGGTCTTTATCTTTAAGGCTCGTTCAAATAAGACGCAGTAAACCACCGCTTTAAACCATCGCCGGAACTTGTTTAACGTGTAGATACATGGCAACAGCGCCTAATATAAACAAAGGTCCTCCGCTTATCCACTTAACCATACATTATAAGATACAGAAATATGGAAGCGTATTACACTCATTCATGTCATCATTAAAACAAAAAACCGAGGTCTTGCAGCGTCATATCTAACCGATGCTTTACATGTGATTTAAAGGGACAATCTAACGTTTGTAATAGTACCTTTTATTTATGTGAAAGCCGAAATGAAGAGTGTTATGAATGTCGCATATATTATGAGATCACAAAATGTACGCGTATCTCAAATTTGATTTTGACATAATTTAGGGACAACGCTCCTGTTTGTCGTAAACGAAAAATATCATTAATTTATGTTTATCTCTCTTTGGTTACTACTCAAAATATATAATGGATAGCATATTATTACAAGTCCGCTAACAAGAAAACACCCTCCTGAGTACAAGAAATTGCACAGCTTTCTTATTTTTTGTCCATTTTATGCCCCTTTCACTAGTCCGCTTCTCTGATTATTTCTGCTTACTTTGGTAAGCAGATCTATTAAGGTTGAATATTTCTTTAAGCCTGCTGGTGATACAAATAATGATGTTAATAATGAAAGTCGATTCTTATATAGCGCTTATGTATGCTCTGGCCGAGGTTTAAATATACAAATGTTCTTATAATTGTCGAGCACGTAAAGCTAACATTGAACTTTGACGGTGTTAGGTACAGTAATGATAGCCAAGAACTATTTGATTTCAGTTTATCTTCATTCTTTTCGTACAATTTATTGTAGTTTAATTCAACGTTGTATATTATGCATGTCTAGTAAGCTTAAAGAGTATAGTATAGAGTAAGACTAAAATATTTCCTTCAGCTTTACAAAAAATTCTATGTGAATGTATTTGGTACATCTTTCTCCCCACCCCCTAGACGTATACACACATCCGCCCTTTTCCTCTAGCGTTCTTCTCTTGCTCTTCTTCTCTCTATTGCGAACCCCTTGTAAGAATATTACCCTGACTTTCAAACCCTGTTTCTCACTAGGAAGTGAAGGCTGTATTCGTCCTTACTCTTTCTGAGCATACAACTCGATTATTGCATGAATTGTATTTTAATCATATAATTATATCACTTTATGGCCACCTTTCATAAGTTATATCCAATTCACTTTTAACCCTTTTACTTAAGTACAATGTTCCTTATTGAATTGCAACTTTTTTGTATTAGTATAGAATATAGTCTTTGAAATTATGCACTTGCACTCATGAAAAAACAGAGTCTTGCTCTTTTTAGTTCATTTAATGCGGTTTGTAACCGGAACGATGACTGGACGAATCAATAAATAAAATATGGCAATGATAACAAAATCAAGATGTAGTGTTCTTTTTTGCTTCAAGAACTGTTTCTTGACACCTTTACTTTCTCTCGTGAAGTTGTCCTGTCTAATCTTTGTATTTTCTTTCAAGGCCATTTTAACGTTTTTCTTTCCGAATGAAATGATTTGTGTATTGTTTTTTTTTACCTGAACTTGGTTTGATTGATGGTGCGTTAAAACCGAAAATCCATGTATTGGTGCGTAATGACAATCAAAGCTGAACATTAACCAAATTGCTCAAAAGGCAGCAAATTGTGGATCTAATCACATGCAGTTGACAGAGAGGCGACACTAATGGGCGAGTGTATAGATATTGCAATCACTTAACAAAGGCATACTTCGCACGAGGCGATAAATCGATCACAGATTCAATTACAGTATAAAGAGGACTTGAAACAGGTGATTGGGCAGTATAAACTGTGGCTGATCATCCTAAACGCTGGCTAATAATTCTGGACCTTTTAAATAAAAATCTTCAGGAAGGAAACTGTAATGTTAACCGTGGGCAAGCCTAATGGATATAGCGTATTGGTCAGAGCAAAGGCTAGTGTAAGTTAAAAGGAGGTCTACCTTGTGTTGCCTGCAATATTGCCATTGCATTCTAATTAAGATATTAGAACAAAACGTGTTTTCGTTGCTATTTACCTTCAGGAACGTTCATTTCAAAACTTCGCTTCGCTTGCTAGGACGCTTTGAAAGGTTAGTGTGGTCTTAGTTGTTGACTTTCTCAGTTATTAAAAATCAACCATACGCAATAGCGAAACAGTAGCCTTTTCCCCCCTTTTCTATAATGGAAAACGCAACAGATATTTATTTTCTTTATGTATCAATGGTCGTTACACAGGTTGACTCAACAAGTTTGGACATGATCACGATAATTCCAAGTGTGGCATCAGAATTAATGCCGTTGCTTTCAATCATCGAGCAATTGTTGCAGCCATTTTGCTCGTATTCGCATTGATCGGTCTATTTGGTAACGCTCTCGTCATAATTTCAGTCATCGTTAGCAGAAAGCTTCGGACGATCACCAATGTCATGGTGGTCAATCTGGCTTTCGTTGATTTCATGGCATGTACCTACTTACCGTTTCAAAGCGCTGGTCTCTTTAGTCAAACAGGAATGTACCCTCTGCATGAGACGGTGTGCGCAGCCGTTGCCGCAGTACAATACATCAGCGCATGCTGCAGTGTATACACCTTAGTCGCTATAGCATTTGTCCGTTGGTACGTCATCACCAGATCTATTCGTGGTCATCAAGGTCTTCATACCCCGAAGAAAATCGCCATCATGGTTGTGATCATCTGGATATTCTCAATCTCATTCATGGTCATACCTCCTGTTCTTGGCATTGGAACACTCGGTTATTCCGAATATTACAGCATATGTTCCTTGACAGATACAAACGAACTAGATGACTATTATGTCGTTCTTCAGGGGACTCTGGTCGCCATTGCCCTTCTGCTCACCCTTGTATTTTACATTTGTATCTTATGGCATGTCTTGCGACACAATAAGCAGTTTCGAGACAAGTACGCGGTTGATGAAGATACCGGTTCAAACTCAACAGAGGCACATCAGAACAAGGCTTCCTCATCCATTGCTGCAGGTTCTCGTCCACCTATGATCAAGGCCATCAACCGGAAAGAGATCGAGATCACGAAGAATCTCTTCATGGTCGTTTGCGTTTTTATGCTCTGTTTCCTAGCCACCGTTGTGAATTTCATCATCCCTGGTACCAGCGTCTTTACTCTCTACAGTACCATGATATTGTTCGCGAATAGCATAGTCAATCCGATTATCTACGGGCTCAAGCATCCCAACTTTCAAGAGGTCTTCAACAAAATCCTTTGCTGTCGTCCCGTAGGATAGGCATCATGCGAGACCAATCTGAATGTTCATGACAGGCTCTTCGCTGGCGAATTGAGTACACTTTACTGAAAAGGGGGCAAAATCACGTGAACAGGAAAAAGTATGGCCCTTCCAAAACTACCCTTCGAAAACCATCGAAAATCAAATTTTAATGATGGTGGCAAAAGTTGGAAAAGAGATACAGGTTTTTGCAAACAAAGAGGGGGTACCTCAAAACATGTTGCATTGTTGATACTTTAGGCACTCTCTTAAATAATTACATGTCCGATATAACCTATGTTAGGAAATATAAGATATATGCATGTCAAGATGTTTATAAAGTTTTATACAAGAATTTTACTGGATATTGGTTGAAATTTTACCCAACAAACATGCATGTTTCCATTTCTACAAAACAAAGTTACAATTTTACGCGTCTATTTTTTTTTAAAAGACTGTGATGATAGATGGGGGTTTCTTATTTCTCCAATGTAATGTAAAACTGTTTTATTACACATTTTGAATGGAGCGGGTGGAGTGAAGATTGTTGGTCAAAATGAGGGACATGAGAAATTGCGATTGAACTACTTCTCATCGATTAAGTTTGTATCTGAAAGTGGGATTTAAATTGTATTTATTTGCTATTTCTTAAGGCTCGTTGAAATATGACGCGGTAAACCACCGCTTTAAACCAACGCCAGATCTTGTTTAACGTGTATATACATGGCAACAGCGCCTAAACAAAGGTCCTCCGCTTATTATCAACCTAACATATAATATATAAGATACAGAAATAGGAAAACGGATAAAACTCATGTCATCATTCAACCCCAAAACCGAAGTATTACAGTGTTATATCTGAACGAGGCTTTACATGTGCTTCAAAGGGGCAATCTAACGTTTGTAATATGTCTATTTGACATGTGTGAAAGTAAGAAAATAAGGAGGCTTTGATTGTCGGAAATATGGTGAGATCCCTAAATCTATGCAAATATAAAAATAGATTTTGGTCACTGGATTTTGAGGTAATATATGACAACTCTCCCGTTTGCCGTGTACAAAGGAAACAAAGGACGCTCTGAGTGATGTATCTTGAAATATTGACACTTTGTCTATTGACCCTTTTGTGTATGGAGACAATTAAGTGGCATTTCATCACGGTGACATTAGCTAATTTAAAGTGCTGCAGTTCCATACGAAAAGTGATTACAACTTTACAACAAAAAAGCACATCTTTCTATTTTTGATGTCCTTTCTTATGCATTTTTCACTAGTCGGCTTCTCTGATTTTCCCTTACTTTAATTAGTGTAGTTTTTTTTTAGGTTGAATGTTTCATTATTGCGTGCTTGTGATAAAAATAATGATGATAATAATGATATTGGATTCTTGTATAGCATTCATATCGGCTCTGACCTTGATTTAAATTACAAATTTACAAATAATTGTCAAGCACGTAAAGTAAACAATGAACTTTGACGGTATTAAGGCACAGAGTGAATAGCCAATAACTATTTGAATTCAGTTTTTTTATATCCTTTTTCTCCTCATAGGATTGAATTATATTTAAAATAAAAAATGTTTATTATACATGTTTAGTATGCTTAAGAATATTGTATGTTTAGGTTGTGGGATAAACATGAATGTACACAAAATGTTTAGAAACGAAAATTTAGCTTGTAATTATATTGATAATAATAGTAAATATTTCTTATAAAGCACTTAAAAATCATCTATGAATGGTAAACTATTATACATCTTATAAAATAGTTTTTTATCCCAAATTATTTGTGTCTGGCATGTTTTCACGCTGGGATGAACAGGAGACATTGTTTAAGAGAGTGTAAAAATCGACTGCCTCCAAAGTAATACTTATGTGATGTTTGAATAAAACGATTGGGATTTGGCTTATAATTCGATCGGTCTTTGCAGAACCAAATACATCCCTAACAACATTAATCATGCCCCACATGTCAAATATCAAAGAACATTTGTGCGCGCGCGTGTATGTGTACGGGTGTGTGTGTGTGTGTGTGTGTGTGCGTGTGCGTGTGTGTGTGTGCGTGTGTGGCTTTGCTTCTGCAAAGCATATGCAATGCATCTCATTTGATACATTCAAATCATTCTCTCACGTTAATGCTTTTGCGCAAGTCGATTTTTGCACTCTCGCAAATAATGCCTCCTGTTCATCAAAGCGTGAACACATACTACACTAAAATGGTACCTGACTTTTAAAATGAAACTTTTTTAAACTCACACGATATAGTGTCTTTTTTACGGGCACTCACATGTTAACCCGTTGACTACTGAATTATATTAGTCCCATAGGCTTAACCACCAGGTTCCCGTGAGCAAAGGGTTAATCCGAAGACAATGACGTTCGCATCCCAACGGGCACCTGTTTAAAACCTGGGTAGAGAGGAGCAATTTAGATAATAATAATAATAATAATAATAATAATATTCGGTTTTGTATAGCGCATATCACATTATAACGTTTGTATGCGCTTCCAAAGAGCTTTGGAAATGATTACTCCGGCTTTAGCATGGCTGCCATTACGGTGCTCTGGCATTTCAAGGAAATAATTCCTGCCTGTTACCCATTAATCTCACCTGGGTCGAGTGTGGCAAATGTAGATTAACGTCTTGCCAAATGAAATTAGTAACACAGTTTAGGGGAACTCTGCAACCAGCAATTTAGATGGAGCAATAACAAGCCTCGGATTTTCAGAACTCAGAAATGCCTGCTGCATGACAAAAAAGCAACCTATCATGTCTGAATGACTGTTTAATTTTTACAAATAGCCTAAAGTTTTTTAGAATTACAGAAAGTCCCCCGCTCAAGTTTTTGTTTGTTTAATCTTTGTAATGTTTTGTACGGTGTACCTCCATTATGGTTCATGTACAGGGTACAAGTACCTGTATATATGCCAGTTTTTCACGAGCAAAAGGCATTTACAGAATGTGAGTCTGACATAGCTTTACAATTTAAACAATAGGACTGATATGATCTACATGTAGTTTAAAAGAACATAATAATAATAAAAAACAGATTAACATGTATCATATATTTTTAAAGGAAGATTTCTCAGATTTTAGAGAAAGTCTAAATCTTTGAATCATAACATAAGCAAATTGTTTTGAAACTTGTTGATAATAATGAATAGTTCCCAAGATCATTTAAAAGAACAGCTGTACATTTACAATATAATGCCTTGGTCACAAATACCCTTACGGGCTGCTACGAACGCCGTACGAACGATTTTCAGACCATTTCGTAAGATCTTCTTAAGAAGGCCGTACGAAACAAGCGCTCGTAAACCGTTCGTAGACCGTTCGTAAGAACGCAGATTGGTCGATGGTCTTGTCCAAGATTTTTTTTAACATCGTACGAAACCCTCTCTTCGTAAGGCGGCCGTACGAACGCCGTATTTACATCGTAAGAACCACGCAAGATCTACGTACATTTCGTAGGGTCGAGGGACAATTCTAGAAGCTTCAAATTATTACGATGACCGTAAGAACGCCTCAAGTTGTTCATAGAGGGCTCTTACGGCGTTCGTAAGAACGCCTTACGAGCGGAGATTCTTATGGTCTTCGTACGAATGACTCCTGGCGTTCGTAAGACGTTTGTAAGGTGCTCGTAACGTGTACGTACACAATTTATGCAAATTTTGAGTTTTAACGGTTATAAAGCCTCACTCTGTTCTTAGTATTCGTCGAAGGTGCATCTCCTGTCGAAGAAATATGGGACCAAAGGGGAAATCTGTTAGAGGGAAGAGAGGGAAGGGAAACAAACGTAAGGAAAGAGATGAGGAAGGAGAAAGACGAGGAGAGCAGCAACAACAGTATCAAGCAGAGGCGTCGGAAGGGGGGGGGGGGGGGGGGGAGGGGCAGGGGGGCATTTGCCCCCTCCCACCCCCTATACAAAAAAAAGCAGTAAAGGAGTAAAGATGGTTTGTATTTTTTACCCAAAAAGAACACAAAAAAGAACAAAACCTGAATTGAATCACATATAAATTATATTCCATTCAAAGAAAAGGAAAGTTAATAGGGATTGAATTTCGTATACATTCCGCTTGCTCATACATTTTATCATTAGAGGTTTTTATAATAATATACATGCGATTTGCGCATATGAAATATTGTAAGAGGATGGGAAAGTGTTTTTTTATTTGTTATTATAGTGGTGAGAAGACATGAGCCCCTGAACAGTAGTGTACTAATGGGCGGGGGTATTTCTAATTCGATACCAGCGATTTACAAACGTTGCTGAAATGACATGATTTTCCGGTATTTTTTCTCAATTTTTTTGTAAATCATATCTTTTTATGCGTTTGTTTGAAAATTACTAATTCCCAAATTAACAACTGGGAATAAAAATATGCTTATTTAGAAGCCTTCATGTCAGGGCCTGCAGAACGGCGGGGCTCGGGGCTTGAGCCCCCCCCCTCACTTTTTTAAAAAAGAGAAAAGGAAAGAAATAGAGAGAACAAAATGTGTGGCCTAGCAATGTCACAAATGAGATATCAAAATATGCTCATCTGACCGTAATTAGATGCCGAAAACCTTTGAGCTTCCAGGGGCTCTGCTCCCTGGAACCCCCGACAATTAGTGACCTGCCAGTGACACAAATAAGGTATCTAAATATGCTTATCTGACCGCAATATAATGCCTAAAAACCATGAGCTTCCGGGGGGTTAGTCCCTTGACCCCGCCGGTGCAAAGCCCCCGGACCTCACGCCAATTTACGCTACGCTCGCTACACTCTAACCTGATCGTTAATACTCCACTTTGAAAAATGTTCCGTGGGGCCTGCATGTAACATGTAGGCCTAGGAGTGGTGGTGATCTAAATTTTCCTTCTGCCCCCCCCCCCCTCATCCAAACGATTTTGCTCATTACGCCACTGCCCCTGGAAGGTGAGCCCCCTGGAATTTTTGCCACCCCAATCCCAAACTGCATTCGGCGCGCCTGATATCAAGAAATGATGGCCAAATCGGAAGCGACCAGGAGGAGGCGGTGGAAGATGACGACGACGAGAAGGAGGGAGAACCATCAAGACGGCAGTTTGACGGCGATGAAGATGAGGTAACGGCGAAACTAAGAAAGGAGAAGTAGTCCTATGACTTTGATGCCACCACAGAGCAAAAACTTGTTGACTTCTTCGGTTAACATGACTGCTTTTAAAATAAAGGAAGTAACAGATATGCTAACAGCAAGTTCAAGAAACACTTTATGGAGTTGCAGTTGCAGTTGTAGTCTTCTTGGCAATATTGTCATCGTGCAATATCAAACTTTCAACAGTCATAGAATTTTCGACAGTATACGGCAGCGCTTTTTTTGCAACCCGACCAAATAGGAAAAAAAAATCGTAAGATCTTCTTACGAATGACTTGTGAATGCCGTGAGTTAAACGTACGACCACCTTGCGAAAACAAAAACTCGTAAGATTGGCGTAAGTCTGACGTAAGAAGAACACAAGGCGTTCTTACGAAAAACTTACGAACTCTGGGGCCATTGTATAACCGAAAATCTTCGTTTCTCAAGAAGGTCTTGAGTTGTTCTTGCGAATTAAACGGCGTTCGTACGAACTCCGTAAGAAGGACGTAAGAAACTATGCCCCATCTGCGAATCTCTACGAACTCTGAAAATCGTAGGAACAGGGAGATTCGTACGAACGAATCGTTCGTACGAACATTTGTGACCGTGGCATACATGTACATGTATGTAATACACATGTTAACTTGGTTTGATATTTGAACCAGTTGTTTATAATTGGGAGTGGAATACATATACGGTACATCTAGTCAAAATGCATTCCGGCATAGTGTACATGTACATTGTACACAAATACGTTTTATCATTAATTACAGATATGTACACAGTCAGTCACAGTGTTATCTATTGATACCATCAGCTCATTGTAAAAGTGTATAGACTATGTACAGTATATTCAGTTGATTTGATAGCATCCACAACACAAAAGTGAGTGCATATCATGTACATGTACAAGTATCAATCTCAAGTTTATTTACAAGGAATATTGATCAGCAAGCTCCAGTGAATAAGTTTGTCCTTTAAATGCAGTAAATTAGGTATTCTACTCTATTAAAATTCTTTGTTTTTCTGAGCCCATTTTTTAATCACACTTGGGTACATTACAAATGTCATTAAATTGGGAGATTATTTTCCCTAGTGTCTAGTTTTATAGGTTGCCTCAATGTTCAATCAAAACACTTTGCATTGATACTATCAACAAAATGTTTACAGTACATTTTGAAAGACCCATGCCTTCTCCCATAGTTTAAAAGATAAAAAAGGAAAGTTTCTAGCAACATAATAATTATTTTAGAGTTGTGAAATAGAAATCTTTCAAAATTTGCCAAATTATTTGTAGAAAAGATAATACATGTACTAAATTGCTGCTTTTTTGTCTGGGTAGCGGTAATCTTTTCTTGATTTCATTGCCGTTTTGCTGAACCTATTCTGACTAAATTAAAATCTGTTTTGCTTTTGCCTGGAGCATGTAGATGGGCCTTTACATGTTGTACACATACATACAGTACCTTCAAAACCATCTCATACATCCTTCCCCAAGTACACCCTTTTAAAGCATCATTTCATTTAATTGTTATCTACAGTGTAAAGGCCTTACAGTACATGTATGATGCAAACATCTGATAATTGTGTACTTCATGAATCTGTACATACATGTAATTACCAAGAACACCCCCCCCCCTCAATTTTTTTTTTTAAAATTAAGTTGCCCTTCATGAAATTATTACTTGTATTGGCATGAAAAATGGTGAACTTCAAATCTTTGCATCTTCCATTTATTTTAGCAATGCTTTAAGTCATTTTTCTATCAATAGGTATAGCAATTGGTGGTATCTCACTGTGTTTAAATGTCACGGTTGGAAAGGGTATCCTACTGTAGGAGATGAGAAAGACAGATGAGAGGAAGGGGAGGGTGCAGAGAGGCTGGAAATAGGGAGAAAGAGAGGGGAAGAGAGAGAGAGAGAGAATGGGAAAGGGAAAGGGAAAGAGAGAGAGAAAGGGAAAGAGAGAGATACAAAGAAAGACAGAAAGACAATTAAAACAATTATACAGTTACAGTTAACAATACTATTAATTAAATGTATTGTTAACTGTAACTGTATAATTGTTTTAAATGGGGGCACGCTACAAGAGTCCTATCTCGCACCCCGGGGCAACGTGTCTGACACGGCCGGTTGTAGCAACTACTCCGAAGATCAAGATTACAGTAATCTTGATCTAAGGAGACACGAACGAACGAACAGAAAGAGAGAAAGAGAGAGAGTTACATGTATATAAAGAGAGTGCATGTATAGCAAATCGGGCTCATAATTGCCTACGACTTTTAGAGTAAATAGACTACTAAATCTTGTTGTATGGACCACTGAATCCAAAGTAAAGCTTTGAAATGAATTGAATTAAACTTGTTGGTAGGCCTTCAGTGACAGTCATTCTTTCCATGCTCTGGTAGGCCAAAATGTACATGTACGCCATACATGTACATGTACATGTCCAGTGCAATTATTGATTTACAGTATACCGTACATGTACATGTACATGTATAACATTGTTTCAAAGTTTCAAAAGCACTACTGATGTCCACATTCATGTACCCCTTTATTCTATAGATTTCTGAACCTGTCATTTGTTTATGAGGCAATATCGCCTTAGAGCCCACAGCATGATGCATGCAAAATGTAATTCCCTGGGTAGCCCAGCCCAGGAGGAATGAGAGGAGCGGAGAGGAGCAGGAGCCGGTGTATCTATGGGGGCAGTAATGACCTCACCCATCCAGGGAGGCTAGGCAGAGAGAGAGAGAGAGAGACCTCAGCTCATCCTACCGCTCTCCCAGAGACGGCGGGACGCGAACCAAGGACCTTGTGATCCAGAGTCCGGTGAGATATCCACTCGACCACAACGCCTCTAGATAAAATGTCTTGATCGAGGACATAATAAGCTGTGCCGTGCTTGACAGAGAGGCGACACTCACGTTAATATAAATATTGTAATCCACTTTTTGCCCGAGGCAATAAATCGGACACAGATTCAATGACGACATAAAGGGGATTTGAAACGGGCTATTGTGCAGTTGCACACGTATGGACTCTGTTAATAATCCTGAAATCTGGCATATAATCCACGATATTTTAATAAAAAATTTCAGGAAACGAACTGTCATGTTCAAGTTCAAGTTTCAAGGTTCAAGTTTGAATGTTAATCGTGATCAAGCCTACTGAATATTCCGTATTGGTCAGTGCAACAGGCTGGTGTAAATGTCATGGGGGTTTACCTTGTGTTGCCTTCAATATTGTCTTTGCATGATAATTAAGATATAAGAATAAAACTTCAGTTTTTTTGCCATTTAGCTCCAAGAACTTTTAATTCGAAACTTCGCGTGTCAGGATACTTTTAAGATGTGGTCTTACTTTTTGATTCTTTCCATCATTAAGAAGAGACACATATTTTGCAGCGGAACGGTAGCCTTCATTGATATTTTGTAATGGAAAACGCAACATATATTTATTTTCGTTATGGTTCAAAGGCCGTTACACAGGTTGATTCAACATGTTTGGACATGATCACGATAAATCCAAGTGTGACATCAGAAATTAATGCCGTTGCTTTCATACATCGAGCAATTGTTGCAGCCATTTTTCTCGTATTCGCATTAGTCGGTCTATTTGGTAACGCCCTCGTCATTATTTCAGTCATCGTTGGCAGAAAGCTCCGGACGATCACCAATGTCCTGGTGGTCAATCTGGCTTTCGCTGATTTCATGGCATGTATCCTCTTACCCTTCCAAAGCACTGGTCTCCTAAGTCAAACAGGAGGGTACCCTCTGCACGAGACGGTGTGCGCAACCGTTGCCGCAGTAGGATACATCAGCGTGTGCTGCAGTGTACACACCCTAGTCGCTATCGCATTCGTCCGCTGGTACGTCATCACCAGATCCATTCGTGGTCATCGAGGTCTTCATACCCCGAAGAAAATCGCCATCATGGTTTTGATCACCTGGATATTCTCAATCTCCTTCATGGTCGTACCTCCTGTTCTTGGCATCGGGACATTCGGTTATTCCACATACTATGGAACATGTTCTTTAACAGATACAAACGAACTAGGTGACTATTTTACCTGTCTTCAAGGAACTCTGATCGCCATTGCCCTTCTGCTTACCCTTATGATTTACATTCGTATCTTACGTCATGTCTTGCGACATAATAAACAGTTTCGAGAGGCACATCAGAACAAAGCTTCTTTGTCTGTCTCTGCAGGTTCTCGTCCACCTATGATCAAGGCCATCAACCGGAAAGAGATCGAGATCACGAAGAATCTCTTCATGGTCGTTTGCGTTTTTATGCTCTGTTTCCTAGCCACCGTTGTGAATTTCATCATCCCTGGTACCAGCGTCTTTACTCTCTACAGTACCATGATATTGTTCGCAAATAGCATAGTCAATCCGATTATCTACGGGCTCAAGCATCCCAACTTTCAAGAGGTCTTCAACAAAATCCTTTGCTGTCGTCCCGTAGGATAGGCATCATGCGAGACCAATCTGAATGTTCATGGCAGGCTCTTCGCTGGCGAATTGAGTACACTTTACTGAAAAGGGGGCAAAATCACGTGAACAGGAAGAAGTGTGACCCTTCCAAAACTACCCATCGAAAACCATCGAAAAATCAAATTTTAATGATGGTGGCAAAAGTTGGAAAAGGGATACAGGTTTTTGCAAAAAAAGAGGGGGTATTTTCAAAATGTTTCCATTTCTACAAAACAAAGTTACAATTTTACGCGTCTATTTTTGTTAAAGACTGTGATGATAGATGGGGGTTTCTTATTTCTCCAATGTAATGTAAAACTGTTTTATTACACATTTTGAATGGAGCGGGTGGAGTTAAGATTGTTGGTAATAATGATGGACATGAAAAATTGCGATTGAACTACTTCTCATCGATTAAGTTTGTATCTGGTAGTGGGATTTAAATTGTATTTATTTGCTATTTCTTAAGGCTCGTTTAAATATGACGCGGTATACCACCGCTTTAAACCATCGCCGGAACTTGTTTAACGTGTAGATAAATGGCAACAGCGCCCAAAGGTCCTCCGCTTATCAACCTAACATACATGTATAAGTTATAAGATACAGAAATAGGAAAACGGATATCACTCATGTCATTATTCAACCCCAAAACCGAAGTATTGCAGTGTTATATCTAAACGAGGCTTTATATGTGCTTCAAAGGGGCAATCTAACGTTTGTAATATGTCTTTTTGACATGTGTGAGAGTAAGCAAATAAGGAGGCTTTGATTGTCGTTAATATTGTGAGATCCCTAAATCCATGCAAATATAAAAATGGATTTTGGTCACTGGATTTTGAGGTCATATAATGGCAATTCTCCCGTTTGCCGTGTGCAAAGGAAACAAAAGACGCTCTGAGTGATGTATCTTGAAAAATTGACACTTTGTCTATTGACCCTTTTGTGTGTGGAGACAATTAAATGGCACTTCATCACGGTGACATTAGCTAAGTTTAAGTGTTGCGGTGCCATAGGAAAAGTGATTACAACTTTACAACAAAAAGAACAACTTTCTTCTTTTTTGTGTCCTATTTTATGCAACTTTCACTTTTCGGCTTCTCTGATTTTCCTGCTTCCTTTTGTGTAGTTGATTATTCAGGTTGGATGTTTCTCTAAGCGTGCTGGTGAAAACAATAATGAAGATAATAATGATATTGGATTCTTGTATAGCATTCATATCGGCTCTGACCTAGATTTAAATTACAAATTTTCAAATGATTGTCGAGCACGTAAATTAAACACTGAACTTTGACGGTATTAAGGCACAGAGTGAATAGCCAATAACTATTTAAATTCAGTTTTTTTATATCCTTTTTCTCCTCATAGGATTGAATTATATTTAAAATAAAAAATATTTAGTATACATGTTTAGTATGCTTAAGAGTATTGTATGTTTAGGTTGTGGGATAAACATGAATGTACACAAAATGTTTAGAAACGAAAATTTAGCTTGTAATTATATTGATAATAATAGTAAATATTTCTTATAAAGCACTTAAAAATCATCTATGAATAGTAAACTATTATACATCTTATGAAATAGTGTTTTATCCCAAATCATTTGTGTCTGGTATGTGTTCACGCTGGGATGAACAGGAGACATTGTTTAAGAGAGTGTAAAACTCGACTAGCGCCAAAGTAATACTTATGTGATGTTTGAATAAAACGATTGGGATTTGGCTTATAATTCGATCGGTCTTTGCAGAACCAAATACATCCCTAACAACATTAATCATGCCACACATGTCAAATATCAAAGAACATTTGTGCGCGCGCGCGTGTATGTGTATGGATGCGTGTGTGTGTGTGTGTGTGTGTGTGTGTGTGTGTGCGTGTGTGGCTTTGCTTCTGCAAAAGCATATGCAATGCATCTCATTTGATACATTCATTTCATTCTCTCACGTTAATGCTTTTGCGCAAGTCGATTTTTGCACTCTCGCAAATAATGCCTCCTGTTCATCCCAGCGTGAACACATACCAGACACAAATGATTTGGGATAAAACTATTTCATAAGATGTATAATAGTTTACCATTCATAGATGCCTCCTGTTCATCAAAGCGTGAACACATACCACACTAAAATGGTACCTGACTTTTAAAATGAAACTTTTTTTAAACTCACACGATATAGTGTCTATTTTTCCGGCACTCACATGTTAATCCAAACACAATGACGTTCGCATCCCAACGGGCACCCGTTTAACACATGGGTGGAGAGGAGCAATTAAGATAATAATAATAATAATAATAATATTCGGTTTTGTATAGCGCATATCACATTATAACGTTTGTATGCGATTCCAAAGAGCTTTGGAAATGATTACTCCGGCTTTAGCATGGCTGACATTACGGCACTCTAGCATTTCAAGAAAATAATTCCTGCCTGTTACCCATTAATCTCACCTGGGTCGAGTGTGGCAAATGTAGATTAACGTCTTGCCAAATGAAATTATTGACGCGGCGGGACGCGAACCAAGGACCTTGTGATCCAGAGTCCGGTGTCATATCCACTCGACCACAACACCTCTAGATAAAATGTCTTGATCGAGGACATAATAAGCTGTGTCGTGCTTGACAGAGAGGCGACACTCATGTTAATATAAATATTGTAATCATTGAACGAAGGCACTTTTTGCCCGAGGCATGACTGTTATCCCCGTGATGACATTTTCTCCATTTCTTCCCGTTCTACACATGTCCTCCTCATTATTCGGAGCAACCTTATTTAACATTCTTTCTTTACTTTTAGTCTTTACCATATCCTTCCAAAAACGCAGGGGCGGATCTAGCTTTTTGCTAAGGGTGGGGGGGGGGGGGGGTTACCCAAATACTACATACTACCTTTAAGGATACTATGTCCCTTTTGCAGCAAACATCAAATTCTGTAGAACATTGCAGGAATTTTGAATATGTCATGTATGTCCTATCTGTGAAATTTAAAAATTAGCAGTGTCCTTATATTCAAATTATGCAACGAAACCCGTTTACTTGCTAGACTCCATTGTCAGACACTATTGAGTGAGTGACTGGCTTTGTTTGTCTTTGGTAATAACAATTAACATACATAAACTAAGCTGTAAAGGGTACATGAGCATTTGCCTACATCAATAACCCACTTCTTGTAATGGCTAAAATTAAACTGATTGAATCTTTGCGCAGTACACAACGTACGAACATTCGGTACAATGTTCTGAATTCCGTTGGAATTTTACATTTTCATCTTTTTGACTTGAAAATTGGACAAAGTACCTTTAAGATATGTGTGAATCCACATTTTGAGACGTTAAATAGAGAAGGTTTACGGACTGATCGTTTCTCTCCTTCTCGTTTTGATTATTATCAGACCTTTTACCGGATATAGGAGTTCTGTTTCGACAATCTCTGTGCTGTCAGAAGTACGAGACAAAATGATAGTGATCGTTTGTACCTTGATTTTTCGCTTTTAATCGCTTCCGATTCTAATTACCACGGACGAACTTACAAGTCCCATTTTTGCATTTTGAAGTAACTGAATTTTAATAACCATAAAACATGAACAAACTTCCATTTCTAATTAAATCAAGAGACAATTTGTATCAATAATAATGTTGCAGTTGTTTTGAATGAACTTTGAAAAGTAATAAGGCCAACAACAAAAAATAATTTGGATGTCTTCGACCGCCCGCTCGTCATTTTCGAGCCGCTCGTATTGTTTTTTTTTAATTTTTAAAAAAATAATGTTTTGTTGTTGTTGTTGTTGTCGTTCTTGTTGTTGTTTTTTTTGGGGGGGGGGGGGGGAGAGGGGGGGGGGTGGAAAGCATTTTTAAACGTCTAACATACCATTTTATGCATTTTCAACGATTAAAATGTGTCCTGTTGCCAGTTTGGTCTTTTCGGTATGTAATTCTGTATTTATTAACTTGCCATTTTTATTTTCTATGTCAAAGTGCCGTTCATTCAAATCAGGTTCTTAGCATTCTTAAACTCATTTTAAAAGGTGCTGTATTTTAAAGCCAAAAATTATCCCAATGATCTTTTAATTTTTTATGGAAAAAAAAGGGGAAAAATAATAATTAATTTTTTAATCGGCCAAATATCAACCCAAAGCGATTCAGAGTTGTGTAAAGGTCAATATGAATCAGCTTTTCCTCATCAAATTGGCCGCAAAAATTGTTGTGTTGTCTACTATTTAATAATTAATACATAACAATGTATTTTGTTTACGTTATTGACTCAGGTTTTGTGCCTTTATAAAAAGTGAGGCAAATCAATAAATAAGTCTAATCGTTTGTGACCTCTTTGCAAGCTTTCGTAGCTTTTTATGTATGAAAATGAGTTCATACTGGAATCTGGGCTCGCTGTGGTACGAACAAATAAGACGCGCTCCGGACAAAATCAAGATGTTGCTTTTGTGGTTCGCGACGACAGCAAATGAAGACCTCTTGAAAGTTGGGGGTGTTTAGAGCATAAATGATCGGTTCTACTACGCTGATGGCAGTACGAATCACTGTGGTATACGGGGTCGACAAACTGTCACCGGGCATGATGATATTCATGCTGCTGGCGAATTAAACAGCACTTAAAGACACAGACAACCGTGAAGAGATTCTTGTTAATCTTGATCTCCTTTTGGTTAATGGCTTTGATTATGGGTGGACGAGAACCGGAAACTGCGTGCGGATGAATTATTACTCTTTTGTGCCGAAATCGAGCTTGAAAAGGTGAATTTATTATCGTCAAACCTGTCTCGTAACTTCCTGTTGTGATACTTATCATGACGCAGAATAAGACAGTAAAATGTGAAGATTAGAAATAGGCAATGGCTATAGAACTTGAATAATCAAGTAATAAAAAGTCAGAGGGTTTGTGTCTTTTAAAGAACACATGCCGTAGTACCTGGAATACCCTAGAGTTCCAATTCCGAAAATGACCATAAATGAGACTGCGTCTATTAAATAAACATCTATATGTGGCGATT